AATTACGAAGCCGGTCGTAAAATATATTTTAATTGAAAGTTTTATTTTTAGCCTTTCGTATACCAATAAAGAGGAACGATACAGTTGGTTAACTTTAAAACTACTGATTCGATTTTATTCATTCTTTCGAAATTGGACTTTTTTTAAATTTACTTAGTTTATCTTCGTCGCCATCACTAGATCACTAAACACCGGGGGCTCGGAGCCTACCCGAAGTTAAGTTGACTAGGCCATAGACAACCACGCTGGCTCACTATGGGTTAGTTGACTTCACACATATCTTTTAATTTCTTCGCCGATATGTGCAGGCATCACGTATTTTCCTTCACCGCAAGAACGTCGGGTAAATTATATACATGTGAAAATTCGAAAATTCGAACATCACATTGGTATATGGCGGGATTCGAACCCAATGCCTGTAGATTACAAGTAAAATGCTTAAGCGACTGACCCACCGACGCTCAACAATTTATTTACTTGTAGAAAGGCAATTATATATTGCTAAAGAGTTGCTATAAATCACATATTGCGTTGTGTGGCTAAAATAGGAGCTAACATTATAACACTAAAACTAATTGGTTGCCTTTAGCAATTCAGGAAAATAATAATTAGGTATTAAAAAGTATACTAAGCCTTATAAAAGAAAAATAACACAACAAACTGAGGATAAGTTCAATGCACTTCAATTGATATTAATCAAAAAAATCAATACAAGGAACGGGGAAACTACCGTTGTGACGTCTCAAAGTGGCAGCAATCGAGGTATTAGCCTCTTTGTTGGAAACGTTAAGGGTTATTAAAATGGACGTTCATTTTTTTAATATTCGACTCATTCTATTTTCAACATATTTCCGCGAAATACATTTGTAAGTTGCTCTACTATACCTTTTTTTATTTGTGTTCAATTAGAAAAGCTTTAATTTTAATCTCAGAAGTTAAAACAGTTTATAACCTAAAGTAAATATTACATAGAAAGTTACCCAATGTATACTAGAATAGAGAAAGGTAATCTAATTAGTGAGGTTTCGTAGTGAATCTCAACGTCTGAAGTTCTCAGCAGTTTTTGTGTGTACTTTGGTTAACTGCAGGGTTTTTGGTTAGTTTTATGTTGACAAAAGAAATGAAATAAAGGTAACTATGTATTTAAATATGCAATTAAAATAAAATCAATAGTAGATTTTATAGTTACAAATAAACCTACGTTCAAAATAAAAATTACGACAGCAAAGTAATAGAAATATAGATAGTTGCATGATTCCTTCATATAGGGAGTAAATAAAATTGTCGATGACGTCAGCACCGGACATATCTCATCTCGGACGTCTCTCAATTGAGAGTTGTTCGATAATTGAATCGAGAACAATTAACCATCGAGTGGTTAATATCGGCCGGCGATGACACCGCACGAGCGACGCCGGCGATGGACACTTAACGTCGAGTGTTAATCGATTCCCCGGTCGAGATACGCATGGATCAGACATAATACGTTCAGGTATCGGATTTTAAAATAAGTCACAAATTAAACCCGTTATTTCAATGTGGGAGATCAACCAATACAGATAAAAAATCTGGCAATACACTTATTTTTTAAATTACGAATCCATTTAACAATGATTTATTAATCATATGTACATATATGGACTATATTGTTAGTGGCGAATAATAATCAACATTGCATTGGATTTTAATTTATTCTTCTTATACTTAAAAAAAAGAAGACATTTAAGATAGTTTAATGGCCATTTTCACCAGTCCTCGCGTAAATCCTCTATATAAGAATGGTTTAGGGCCTGGTTGATAAAATACGATGAACAGGATATCAGTAATGTACAGAAATGACTCTTTGAAATCGTACTAGTTAAAGTAACGATATTTTCATGTTCATAGTAAAATCTACAAAAGAGTAAACAAATGACAGTACCGGAATACAAAGACTAACGCAAATCCTGAATAATATTTTCTATTTTAGAGCAAAGCGTAGAAATCCTCCCACATTACATCGGTTGTTTACTTTTTTTTTACTTTTTTCTACGTTGCTCACGAGGTGGATAAAAAGCGCAACATCCATTGTCAACGGTCACACATATAGTTTTTTTTTTTAAACTTCTCCATTTTAGAAAAGCAAAAATGATTTATTTAGATAGATTTAGAATGATTATAGAAATATACGTTATGCTTACACTGTGAAAGAAGGCAGATTATTATGATGATGATAGAAATATAAATATTTTCTTATATGGGTTTTATTAAAATAACTATAATAATACTCTAATATTTGAATACGTAAATTTAACCTAAGCACAAATTGGGTTGAACTACTAAAGGACGTTCAAAGCCGAGCGGGAAATTGAGTAAGTGAATTCGAGTAAATCTTAGTTCGAATATCATACCCGAAATGTTAATTGCATTAGGAACACGATAAGCCAGTGTCAAAGTGCTAAAAGCAAAGTTGGAACTTTCTTGCCTTCTCTTGCATCCAACGCTATTGCAGCATTGAAGGCGAAAATTTACTCCAATGTGAGCGCTTTACTTAAACTTGTGTGCTATGAATAGTTCCACAATATGGAGGTAGAGGATATGTTTTAGAAGCCACTAAATATCTGACTTGGTATTTGTAATCCAACGAAGCGATGAAACTTCAAATAAAAAGTTCTTAATCGTAATACAAACAATAGTAAAGTTAGTTAACTAACTGTTCCCCGCGACTTCGTCCACGCAGCATTAAGATAGAAAAGTATAATATGCCCGTTTATATCAGCAACCCTTCAGTGAGAGTGCGGTCGAAATCGACCCAGTCGTTTTCGAGTTTACTCGGAATAAACTCGACTTCCGGATAGACAGACAGACAAAAAAAGTTAATGCGATTTTCGTTATCAGCAACGCATTGCATCATCTTCCCGAAATCTGGAATTTTTCTTTTGGTATTACAAGCAGACACTCTAATTTTATTTTATGTATAGAAGATAAACTATCAACAATATTTTAAAAAATAAATTAATAGGAGGCCCAAAAAATACTGATTTAACAAACTGCTGAAAACCATAATGTTTTCTCTGATTTTCGAGAAAAATAATTTTTATACTACTTTTATGCAAATGTTTTGGCATCAAATTATATTGACAATCCGTCAGCCGACTATCAAATTATTTTGTTTATTTTCGTGGCTTGACGGATTAAAATTCCGAGAATTATATCAGGTTCTTAGACCGATGACTCTATAACAGCGTGTCAATACACTGCAAAGGGATTCATTTATAAACATTCCTTGTTTATGTTACATGTATTATAAATACTTTTTACAGTTCTTCGAACAGTTTCCTTATCGCTTCAACAAAAACTTAGACTAAACAACGCCTGACGTGTTAACGGTATTCCAGAAGTTACATAAGTACAACTTAAAATAATAAGTACTTAACGGTTTTACCAGACAATTTTTAGCATTTTTTAATCTATTTTCGCTATAGTCTAATCTAGGAAGATATATTACTTTGCATGACATTCTCAATAGTGATCAAAATCCTATGAAAGAAAAAACTCCATACACAATACTTACTACATATTTATACTAGCTTTTGCCGGTCACTCCGTCTGCGTGGAAAAAAATAAATATGAGTAGCCTGCTTGTTCTTCCAGTCTATCCTCTAAATCTATGCCAAATTTCATCAAGATCTGTTCAGCCGTTTATGCGTCGAACTCTAAGAAACATCGATATATCTAAACTTTCGCATTTATAATGTTAGTAAGGTTATTCATGTTTTAAATCACTGGCTTTATCTATAGTTTGTTTTGCGTGCAAGAACGTAACTAAATCGTGCAGCCAGAACAAGTCCGGCGTCGCGGGTGTTCCAACTTGTTTACCTGTCTACCGCGTGTAAGGTAATTATTTTTTTTTTTATAGCAACATTTGTTACCCACAATGTAAACGTCTATGTTAATATTTGTTGTTTCCTAAATTTATAAAGAAATTAGTCGTTAAGAATATGTTGTGTTCAATGCATGGATGAGTTATTATTATAAGTTATTTTGGTATGCTTGAGTAAGTTACATGTTTTCGGAAGATCCCACAGATATAAAAATGTTATACATATAAAAGGTTATAAAAACAATAGTTAACGTCTTTAATTAAAGCTTCCGATCTATGTTTTATTACTTCGGTAATTTATTTTGTAATTTGTGTGTACATAAAATAAGAATTTACTGCTTATTAAAAACTAGTAAACTTTCACCAGAACTGAGCTTTTACGACTAACACGATCGTAAAATATCTCCTTAATATTTACAGTATTCCTTAAATGTGTCTTTGTTATGGTTCTTTAGTGTCGTTCCTGCATACTTCGAGTTTAGAGTTTCCTAATCTATACGTATAATAAAATTGGAGTGTGTTTGTAATATGAAAAGAAATATTCCAGATTTCGGAAAGATGTATTTGCGTTGCTGACAATAAATGTCACATTTTAATGTTTTTTGTTTGTCTGTCCGCAAGTCGAGTTTATTTGTAATCTCCTATACGGCAAGACCGATTTCGACGGGACTTCCACTGAAGGGTAGCTGACATGGACAGGCATATTATAGGCTACTTTACTCGTCGGAAGATAGCTGGTAGAAGGTAGATGCACGCGGGAACGATGACCTTTTTTAAAAAAAAATCCACTCTAACCAAGTTTGCGGGCGACAGCTCGTATTCAAACTGAAGTAAGTTACGGACAAAATTCAACACACCACGATCTTCCAATACTGCTATTGCCGTTGCTTAGAATATAGATAAAGTTCTGCTTATTGAATTTTTTAGATACTAAAAAGAAATTAAGTAAAGCAAACTCTCTATAGAGAAACAATGATAATTTGGTAAATTTAAACTAAAATTTTAGGCTAGCGGTTTGACAGTCTCTATATCTTTATCTAGCAATATTTTTTAATTTTTTTGTCTAGTTAGATTTTTCATTAGAATTAGGTTTTATTGGATTATCTATTTTAAACGGTGTAGAGCAATAAAACGCACATTAAGTCTTGGATTTATTTATTTAGAATCCACGTCTGTAGAACTGTTAACTTACAAATAATGTTGATTTAAAAAAAATATAAATATGGCTACAAAAAGTACAGTCGTTGAAACATGACTAACACAAACAAAAGAAAGAAGTTGTTTTATACAACGTAAATTACAATCACATAAATGAAATTCAAATAAAATCTTCGAAATATCAAATGTTTTTCGTTGGATGAACGATTCACCGATTCTATGAATTTAATCGGTCCAATAGGAAAAAACCCCATTGTACCGATTAATCGGTAAACCGATCGGCCAAACGGGCAACACCCGGGAAATATCCAACGGTAAAAGTCTACCTGAGCTTTAGAAACATAGGTATAAATAAATTATTTTCAACATCAATATTAATAAAGAATTAATTATTGAATATACAATAATTGTCAAAAGAAACATGTTCTATCTACAATATACAAGTAACAAATATTTATCTATATACATTTAGTAGTTCGGACTAGTTCACGATCGTAGTCAAAAAGTGTCATTAATAAATTTTAATACATATCTTACAAAAGTGAACTCTACTGAATGTAGGCCCGCCTAATTAATATCCCAAATGCTGCGTACAATTTACTACTCACAAGTCACCGTAGAATCCCATTGCCGGACTGAAATCTTATCTTTGTTTAGTTAATGGAAAGTAATGATAAGCCCTCAGCAGTCGAATTCTACGGATATAATCATGTACAGTTAACGGCTACAGTGCAATCTAAATCATTACATTTAATATCTCAGTTTTAAAATTTACAATAAAAAGTGCAAAGTAGCAAAGAACTAAGGCATCAAGAACTGCAACTATAAATTAATTGTGCATAGAAATTTTAGTCTATGTCTAACATCAAAGCGAACAAAGACGTCTCGACTCTGGTACTAAAGTTAAAATGGCAAATAAATGCAAATTTATCGCTAATGCTAGTTTCACACGAAGGTAGGTTTATTGATATTGCTTGCACGCATCACCGACACAAAGTACAGTTAAGTACGTGTGCGTTCAGTACTACAAATTCGTACTGCCTGTCCGTGCCGTCGTGTAAAACTAGCATTATATTGGGAATATTTGGGTGAAATTGAATTTCACAAACCTACACCTACAACTAGACTGTACATGCGGCATGCCGCATAAAGCTCTCTTAAAAAAATTACACAAAGAATTAACATATATAATAATTAACCTATCTATTTAAATTATATACAATTATTGCTATCGAAAGTGCGCTTTTAACGCTTCAATTTTCTATAATCAATTGGCTTATTGCCTTTTATTTCATGTATGCAAAGTATCACTTAAAACTTACATATTATTCAAACGTACAGAAGCGATCATAATTTTGTTAATTTGATATTTTAATTACAAAGGTATTTGATTTTGAAAAATTGAATAAATTCATGTTAAACATTATTTTTAATATACAATTTTAAAATTAACACTTTATAATACTATTAAATCTGAACAGTTTGTCATATTTTTGCATTAAACTTTTGAAAACAGTCATTACAAAATAAAACCACTTTTAAAAGATTTTTGTCGTCAAAAAAGACAATGATAGCTTAAATTACGTTCCAAGGAAGCTTTAGTAACAAGATCGTATTTTAGAGTTGTCATTTTGTTAAAAACAAGCTGTTTTTTTAGACATTTACAAGACTGAATTGAAAGTATTGTAGGTTAAAATGTTTAAAGCTGATCGGAATAATATTCAGTCTTATTTGTAAATTAACGCAGTCGTCTTGTCGGTCTGTCCATGATTTTATAATGAATTTCTAAAAAGAATTTAAAAACGCTTTAAGCAAAACGAGTTCTAGATAGAATTACTGAAATTTTTATTGGTCTATACCGAGGTCATTGACATGCAAATTTTTTCAAATTGTACATGTTTACGCAGTATAACCTTGGCAGCGATAGTCAGTCTATTGCTGTTCCATTTCTTTAAAAATAATACGCCAAAGAATTATTAAACTATTTTTTTACTATTCAAAATATTTCACATTCTTAGGTAAAAGTGCGATTTAGTTTGGTTTTATAACTGTAAAAAATGTCGTTTTATTTTGTGATTTAGGACGACAATACAGACTGTCTAGATAAAAAATATAACAAAATTATTATTTCAGTTAAAAATTAAAGCTTACGCTTAACATTAAAGGCAGTGTTTGTTCTATTAATACGTACGGGATGAATTTGCAACATTATTTTATTGAAGCAATTAATTTTAATTATATATTTTCAGACCATTTCTCATAAATGACTTATATTTATCTATAACTTTTCAATTACATCAAATGATTTTTTTCCAAAGAGAAGTATGCATTCGATGGTTTATAAAAGTTTAATTTGTGCCACAGAAGTAATGTAATACTAGAAGGTAGATTTTATAATAACGCTACTTCTCCTTAGCGAAAAAAATTACCAACTGGAAATTACCGATTTTTCATCATGTTGTATCGTGTGCGGATGGGGGCGAAGGTTCGGGCTCGGGGCGGGGCGGTGCGGCGGGCGGCAACGCGGACAATGCGCGCGCCCGCGCCAGCGTCTACGCAAGCGCGGGCGCGGCGGGCCGAGCTCAAGTGCGGTGCGGATGCGCAGAGCTCAGCGACGAGCTGCTGACTCCGGAGTCACTGCTCTTCTCCGACGCGCACGGCTCGCCGCCCGCCACAAACTTCACCACGCTCAGCTTATGGTCGGTCTCGCAGGTATCATCCCTGGCTCCGCCGGGTAGCCCGCCGCCGCGAACCACGGATCTTTCAACACCGGATCCAGGGTAGCGCTCAATCCTGTCACACTCCGCCTCGTCCGGCTGCCGGCGCCGGATGGAGCGTTTCGCCTGGGGCGCCGGCTCCGGCGGCCGGTGCGAGGGCTCGTCCACTCTGTGCACCAGAGGCGATGTCCTCACCCGCACGCCACCCACCCCAACGCTCGCCTCGTAGCAGCCCGAATCGCGCGGGAACTGCCTGCGCCCAAATGGCGAGTCCCCGCCCTCGGAGCTGGACCCACCGCCTTCGCCTTCTCCGTCGGCTTCGCCACCTGGTTATGCATGTACAATTCTTATATAATCCACCAGAATAACTAACCTATAAAATAGTAAGTTCGAATATAGTATTTATTAAGAGACTCACATTCAAGCTGGTGCAGCAGTTGCACGGCGGCGAGGATGCGCGTGCGGTGCTCGGGCGTCATGATGCCGAGGTAGTCCAAGTCCGATGGCTCGATTTCTTTAAATAGCTCAATATCTTCGTAACCATTTCTGGCAAAAGCCAATGCGTATTCCGGCAAGTCTATCCTTTTGAGTAATTCATCAACTGTCCTCGGTCGCGTCTCCCAGAGTCTTTCGCGACTTTTGCACCATTTCGATGTCCTAGACCTCATAGTATCTCTGTCGGAGAGCACTTCCACATTGGCAAATTTGAAGTTCCCCACTTTGTTATTCAAAATGCCTCGCCAAATACCTGAAGCGTTCATATTGATCACCTCGATGATTTCACCTTTCTGTTGAAGAAACGTTTTCATTAATATAAAAACACATTTCTTGATAGTACGCAGGAGTAACCATTAATTTATCTTACCTTGTATCGCAGAGCGTCTTTCTCATAAATATTGGGCACGTAATCGACGAGCGCCCGCGCTCTGCACAGCATTTGCGGTACCAGTAAGCTCCGCCCGGCCGGACTTAATTCTATGTTTTCTTCTGCCGAGAGAGATGAGTGATTACTACCGGCGCGAACCAATGCCTGAGTGCCTGAACATAAATATTTGCACGTTGAGCGAGTCGAGTCGAACACGGCCCTATATTTACTTTAAAATACCGAATACCTGCAGACACAGCACGGTGACTGTATAACAAGTTTAGAATCAAAAATTAACATAGCGGACTGGTCTTAGACACATAAGACGTACAAGATACAGAAGCTGTAAGTAAAAATATTGGGGCGATTTGGTACAAAGAAAGGAAAGACAAATTATTTACAAACGTTTATATTAACACTGACAAATAAGTCAATAAATCCACTCACTACTGCCTGATCCGCTGGGAAGACTTTCAAAGGAACTATTAGAGCATGGAAAGGCTTGGTCACCGCTCGTCCGTCTATCAATAGTATCCGGGCCTCTCTCTTGCCTTAATCTTGATATTTTCCGTTGAACATCTTGCCTGAGACCTCTCACTTTGCCCGCTAAATTTGATACACCTTCGCACTCATCAGCAGACTGTAATATTATAAATACAAAATATAATCGGTGTCGCAAAGAAAACAACATAATTCTGATAGCCTTTTATTTCGCTAAAGTTACCTTATGCACCGTGGCTATATGCTGAGAGTCCGTTTCACTTTCTTGATCCTCATAATCGGATGAAGCAGGTGATAAAGGATCGATGCCTATCCGGTATCCCGACATCTGTCTGTAACCTCTTCTGTTGTCCCTTTCCGAACGACTTGATTCTAACGAAATTCCAGATAATCGCGAACCAATCGATTGGATGTCAGATGCGGCGTAATCCCCGCTTTCACGATCCCTCGCAGTATGTAGAGGGATGACCGTAGTCGGATAGGGACCGCTTTGTGGAATTATTAATCCACGTCGAGGGGTTCTCGCTAAACTGATGTCGCCGGCGCTTCTCAGCGATATGACGCCTTCACCTCTAGATTCGTTCCTTAGATTAAGTGTGAAGCAAACTCGGCCGTTTTGGAAAGAGGCAGCGGGTGCTCCAGCGCCCATGAGAAAGTCTTCGGGGTCGCTTTCGTAGGGTGGCTCGTCGTACCAATGCCCCCGGCCGGACAGGCCTCGAGCCTCGTCGTCGTACATATATGTGTCGTCTGTGAACGAGTACTCAATGTAACACTCGAATGTATCATGGAGTAATTAATTGTGCAAATAAAAATTATACGTGCAAACAAAATAGCGTAAAAAGTTTACCGTACGATGCCCCTTCCACAACATGGCGGTTTCACTTACAACACTGCAGGTCAAGCTGTGTACGAACATCGTAAAGCCGTGCGTGCTCGATGCAACATATTTTAAAACAACATGCATTCAGCATTTTCTCGCAACGAAAATATCTTGATGGATGAAGATGAGTTCACGAAACGGTATTTTTTAATCGTTTCATCGCTTGAAAGCGATTCAATCGTTTGTTTTTATTTTGTTTCACATTTTTTAATTAAGTAAATCATAAAAGTGTAATGAATGATGCACATCGAAAGCATTTCTTAAGTCATAAACGAACGACAAATCAATGACAATTGTAAGCATTCCGCAGAATTTCACAAAAATTATTAAAACAACGTGCAGGCAACATGCTCCAATTAAAAGTTTGATTTACACAAATTCATTTTGATGAGTTAACTATTACTTTTCATCTTTCAAATTTAACGAGTAAGTTATGAGGTTAATAGTGTCCATTTACAATTAACTATTAATTATTATTTCCCAGTTTTACATTAATTAGGAAACGTTAAATTAATATATTGATCAAATTAGTGACGCGTTTAATGCTTCATTGCACTGATTCGTTTTAAAAAAATCCAATTTTAAACAAAAAGCTGCTCTATGTTAAAGAAATTTTTCATAAAAATAAACATTTACAACATTTATAGCCCAAATAGCATGATAAAATGTATGCGAATTGCGTAAAAATAACAACGAGGCTTAGAAATAAATAGAAACTCACCTCCGAAAGGACCCCGTACTCCATCTCTTCCCATGTTCATTAGGCCATGTCGAATGTCCCTCAAAATCTACAAAAAAATAAACAAATTATATTCACTTGGTTTCAGGAAGAAAAACTGAATGTTGAAAATTATGAAAACAATGTATAAACATTGTTGACGTTTAAAAAGAGGTATTGCTATTTTTGTAATTTAGAAAAACAGTTGGACTACCCTCAACTTTTAAATTGGTCCATTTCAAGCAGGATTTTTAGAAAATCATCGCTTTTGTAAACAATTAGATTAAGCACCATTGAAAGAAAATGAATATTTTTTTATTTTATGATTAAACTTATTTATTATTTATTTTGGCTTTATTTAATTTTCAAAAAGGTTAAGTAGTGCAACATTACCGAAGCGTTGCAAAGGAACAAGTTTCGAAACTTTTTACCAACTATAGGCACTGGTACATCTTAAAGCATTCGCGTACGCGATAATAAATTTTCAAAAGCGGCAATAAAACGACCACTTTTACGTAAGTAGAAAAGTATTGAACATTAAGTTAATTTATGCACGTTTGTTTCCGAGACGGCTCTGGAAGTACACGGCGAGGGATTTTCGTTTCATTTAAGGAAATAAGGTAGCGTACTGTTGAATACTCTAAGCTTTTTGTAAAAAAGGCCAATTATAATGGTGTTTTAACATCTTAATTAAATTCTTATTTAATAGTCTTCCAAAGCGGAAATTGAGACAGGAAATCTTGTGCCTTTTTTTTATATTTACTTTGCTATGTTACAAATGTTTTTTAAATATCTGGCCGAAAAGAAATTGAACGCCTTAATAGACAAACAAGGCAATAATGGCGCAGTTGCAGCAATTCTTTTGGTTTTTTCAAGACAAAATTCTAGAGATAAACCATAATAATTTTATTTTACGCTACCATTAAAAATGTGTACTAAATTTGAGTGATATCGTGTTAAAATTGAATAACAACTGAGACGAAATTTTCGACAAAGGGAAAGTGTAGGGTAAAACCGTGGTGAATATTGATTCCGTGCAAGAATCAATGACCCGACTGAGTCGGTCCCAAATTTTTAATAACCCGCATTAGGAAACGATTCGTGCGGGGAATGGTTGATTGCGGTCATAAAATTTCAATATTCTATATCCCAGAGTATTCGAAGGCTCATAGTTTTACGATCGAAATGCGCCCGCCAAAGGGCTTCCGAAGTTTCGTAGGGAAGCGATACAACTGTTCGTAATAGGCTTAGCTCGAGATTAGAGTGCTATTAGCCTTTGGGTCGATTCGCACGTCCAAAGCGTGCCCGACGCAAGATTATCACTGCCGTCTATATCACGCGTCCTTCATATAACTTTGTTTTCGACATTCCAATCATAAATTATGTGTTACACAGTTGCGAGTGCGACATAACTTATCAGTATTATGTTGAGGATAAACGAATTCAATCAAACATTATTTACAAGTTACTGGGTATTACGCTCCGTGTATACTTTTTGTTTTTATTCTGCAAGAAGGGATTTATAGTCGATAATAAATTAAATCAACAGCTTTGTCCCGACAGATAAAGGGTGTGAATACTCAGAACTAACTGAATAGTCCAACTGTTCAGTTAAAACTGTCAGAATAGAGCGTATAGCTAAGATTAAGACACTTGGATTTTTTTTTGGGAATACACAAAATATTATTTATGAAATAAAACAGTTTATAAGTAAGCAAGTACAAAAAATTACCTCTTCCTGTTCTCTCGCCAGTTTGTCTTTCTTCTTCATAGCTTCCTGAACCTTCAGCTGCAACAAACAAAGGCTCATTTGTTATTTATAATTACCACGAGAACGGCTCTGATTTTTTTTAAATACATTTGCGAATCGTTCGCTCCGGAGATGTTTACGTAACTTTTATGAAGCATATTAATTATTCTTTCCCTACGGAAACAATGTGGGGATTTTGCAAAGATATAAATCGCAAATTCGACTAGTTTAAACACAAGATCATTTTATTTTCTTTCGTGGAATTTTTTCATGCACATGAAGAAACTTAAAAACAAAATTTACGGTAAAATTTGGTTTTACTAACAATAAAATTGTTGGAAGCGTAGTAAAATATCGAAGAGATATATATAAAAAAAATTATATGTCAATTTAAAAGTAAATCAATTAAAAAACACATTTTGGAAACATGCATTAATTGGAACGTGCAAATTCGTGCTAAATGAATAATTTGTGCATGCGTGGAATAAAATTTAAAAATAAAAATAGTTCACTATCTAATATTTCAATAAAACAACTTTATACATATATCTGAAACAACAACAGTGTTAATTAAATCAATTTAGAACCACCTCCTAATTTTTGAGCATTCCGAAAAAACTTCAAGCCAAAAACATTGATAATTTGGTAAAATTTTGAATTTTGACACCGTCATAACTCTGCTGGCAAAACTTTGAAGTTATAAATAAAACGAATTACAAAGATTATTCTACTATCACATTTTAATAATAAATCATGACAACATTTTAAAAGCGTAAAGCGAAACGTTTTTTTAATAAAAAGCAAATTATTACCCATTTTGTAAATATAAATCTAGTATCTATATGAATTTATAGCGACTTAATAATCGAATCTAAACGCTTTAACTATAAGCAGATATTCAATGTACTCAGTTACACATAATCCCTTGTAATCGAATTATTTATAACATAGCATTTTGCCATTCAGAGCATAACAGTTATTTTCCTGCTGAAGACAATGTTTGTGTCGTACATTAACTTAGAAAATCACAATATAAAGAAACATTTATGTATTTAAAAACTTTCAAATAGTTACAAATTTTAAAGAAGCGATTTGATTTCTTTTAGTAATTTTCAACGCTGCTATAAGCAAAAACATTTTATCACACTTGTTCTATGAAAATTTTTGATAGCTTCTAAAAGCGTTAACTCTAATCGAATTATAATTATCTATTTTAATAAATGTTACTAATCCAAAAACCTTACGACACAAACAGTCTATCACAGTCAGGAAAATGTTTTCGCTCACCCTATGTATAGTCTCTTCAAAGGTGTTTGGTTGGGCGGCGTTCATTTGAAAAAAGCGGAGGCGGTCATAGTCCCTGGGGTCAACCATGGACCTCAAGGCCGTGTCGGGTCCGGGCCCAAGGCCCAGCCCACTCTGTAGCACGCTGTCCGGGGTGTCGACCTGAGGGAAAGTTTACACACATATTGTAATTTATAGCGGTGCTATCCATGATCTTTGAACTCCGGCGTTTTATTACCTTTTTTATTCTTTGACTACATACTGCCGTGACTCTGAGAGACGCGTAGAAATAGATTAACGCTCCTACGCTCGGTTGAATTACTGATAAACGTAGAAATTTGTAGTCTAATTGCAAAACAACTTACAATACATTAAACAAATGTATTTTTCATAAAAAGTTTGAAATTCCTTGTCTCAGCGATTGAGTCATTCATCAAACGTAATTTATTATTCATTTTTCTCAACAACTATCGCGGCGAGGAACGCTGACTCTGTTAACTGAGTCTTTGAAGTTTTTCACAAATCACGCTGCCTTATATTCGACATGATAAATTGATGTTAGACGAGTATGAACTTCATATTCTACTTAAAAGAAGATGAATAGAAAAATAGCTTGAAGAACTAATAAATAAAATTTCTTCTAGGATAGGATAAAATAATAATTGAAATATTAACAGAGCTCAAGTATACAATCATATTAGTTTTTTTTATAACATAAGGTGGCGAACGAGCTAAAATTAGGCCTTCGGCACCACACTCATCAGACAAAAAGCGGAACTGCTTCCATTTTACGCCTGTTTTCCGTGTGGTCGTGGTATTACACCAGGCGAGCCGGCCCATTAGTGCGACGATGTTAAACCTGGCTCTACCACTGTTAGTATACTTCGAAACAATATGCAGCTACCTTTTTTCATAAGTATCTGGAGTAAAAGTTGTATAGAAACTTCAAAACAGATGCAATCTTGAAAAGAAAATCGTAAAATTATAACAATTCCATTTAATGAACTGTAAATCTAAAGAAATCTACATCACAATGGTCCGATATACGAAGAAATCAATTAATCATTTGAGGGACAAAGCTCGCCCATTAACTTTGCACTTGATAAGGGAATAATGCGTTCCCAACAATAGCCGTTTCTATATTACCAAGTTAACTAAGGAAATTTTATGGTACCTTATTCATATACAGTGTCATATCAAAGGAAATGTTTCAATGATTATCTTTTTTCGTCGACAGCTTTTCATTTCCTTTATCATATCTGCGAAGCCCTTTTCGTTGATCCCTAATAATTCTCGGAAAAGGTTTTTCATTAAAGTCTTTGAGTTACATGTGTCTACATTCTTTAATCTTAAACAGACGAGAGCTAATTATGACGTCAGAAAGTTAGATTTATTTCTTTTGTATGTGTATTTAGATTATATGTATTTAGATTCTTGAAATAAGATTGTGATGGAGACTGAGAGAGACAGAGATAAAGAGTAAGAAAAAGAGCGAAAGAGACGAAGAAACAGAAGAAAACATTTTTCTATAGTAGAACGGTTCTTCGCAACTTACAAATAAAACACGGTGCATTGATGATGGGATGTAATTGAGAATTAACAATTCATTTCCAAGCAATTTCTTGTTGCAACAAGCTGGAAATTGTATTATAAAAAATAATTCTTGTTTGCAACTTGAAGCGTTGCAATCAAGTACTTACGGAGCTCAAGTACCCGTAATAACAATCAACAGCGGAATGAAATAATGAAGTGTTTTCAACGTACTCATTGAAATAGGTCATGTGAATTGTAATTCTAAAAAAATGCACTAATAAATTTCATATGAAGAATATTTGAAAATCAATTAGTTCAAGTTTTTCAGTCACTGGTTCTATTAAATAATATTATGAAAATTCCTACTATTACGTATGAATTTTATGAATACGACATATTATATTTTTAACAGTTAAAAACCTCATTGATACAAAATTCCTTGGAACGTAGTGGAATTGCGATAGGGTGTGATTTTAAAAAATCATACTCTAAAACAGAAATGTAAATAAAGTTTCGCCTCGCCAACCCACAACGAAAGTAATCTGTGTCAAAAGCATTGCTTTGAAAATATTACCACAGTAAACGTGATAAATGCGCCGAGAGGAATAACTTTCGTGGTTGCAAAACTTTAATATCGCCTTCATTTTCTTGAACTAGATTCGCTTTATTACATCGTAAAATATCTGCGCATAGTTTACATCGAATCGTGGAAACAATGCTTTAACTTCGAATGTTTACATCATACATTGAAACGTGCAGATCGCCAGAATAAATGACATCGTAAAACATTCATCGGAAACATAGAATCTAACTACTAAGTAACGGAACAGAATACGTTCACAAATTCGAACGAGCAATCGATCGAATCGATACAAGATGTTTGGAATTTACGATATTCTAAACGTTAGCAAAAGCCACCGTATTGTTCCAATATAAAGTTTTATTGCCGATATCGAGAATCTACAAAACCATAATAGTGTAATAGTATCGGTATAATATCCCACAAGAAGACGTTAATGTCGTGTCGTGGGGCGGCGGGGTGGCGGGACGGCGGGGCAGCAGGGAAGGATGCCAATAGAGAATTCAACACAGATACCATGAAACAAATACTTTTAAATCAGCGAATGATACTACAAGCATTCTTGTTCTCGATGCATCGAGTATTTATGTTCAGGGCGACAAATATATTAGATGTTTAAATACAGAAAGAAGATTTAGTAGCCATGAAAATTATACCAATTAGATCCACATTTGTCGCATATTTTATTTCATTTGCAAATTTTCAAAAAAAAGTTGATTTCTGAGCACGAACATATAAACCTTCTTAAAGCGCTTATCCCCTAATCGGGTAGACACGACTCCGGTAGTCGAAAAAAAGCAACTTCTGACAGAACTAATCCTAAGTGCAAGTTGGCCGATAAGGATTATACGGAGCGCCCTAATGGCCTTTATCCGTTCGCTCAACAAACGGTCATAACTCAGGGCCCGTCGCCTTGGCTCAACCGACTTAACTTTGGCAGCCGTCATTTCTCAAAAGGCACGCGCTGACGTACCCCCTCTCCCTTCGGAGATTAATAAATATATAGGTGGACGTGGAAAAATGTAGCACTTAATTCGGTCAAGATGAGTTGCGTATCTTAAGAGAAAGCGTCTCGTCTACTTACATTTTTCTTATTTCAAATTACATACTCGTAGCACGTAGACGTTTTTCATCGGAATATTGTTGTCTACAGTAGACAGCAGAACATTATTAAAGGTTACAAAATGGTTGTTTAAAATAATATTTCTTTAATTTACTGTAATACTGGAGGTAACTACAAGAATACAGTATGAATACATTTCCCAATTCGAGTTGACAAACGTATTCTTAAGGTATTTTCAAATCGATTATAATATTTACGCGAAGCATTGAAGCTAAAATTTGTAGATATAGTCCACGAACTTTTTAAAATGTTTTTATAAACTTCTACTTTACGAAATGTAACAGTAAAAAAATGCTATATTAACTCTAAAATCTATTTAATGCGATTATAATAATGATTTTAACAATAATGCTAAATCATTTTAACGTGACTAAACGGATGTTCGTAGAATTGACAACAATGCATTATAAAGTTTGGTACGACAATGTGCATCATAATTTTCATTACACGCATTTGTGGCCGCGCCCGCTCCACGCAGTTTCATACGGGTTGCGACGCGTCATACTAATTGCTGGGAGTGCATGTCAAAGAAGGACCGGCGTCGCCGGATCTACATAATGGCGAATGGGGGTAGCAAAAAGGAATGTATGGAAAAAAATACGAGGAAGCCAGACGCCGCTAGCGGGCGACGTACTCTAAGATTCGGTTACACACCGTTGTTCCCCGTAATGAGAAATCGCGTTTCGTCTGCCTACACTTATGTGTCACCCCTTTTTTTTAACTGTATAGTCGAAATTTTTGTATTTTTTTCATGTCTAGCATATCAAAGGACTTCAATTACATTGTTTTAATGATGATAAAAGCTGATGTTTTGAAGAGATCTGCTTGTTACGAATGTTACCTGAAAAATTACCTCCTTGAACTTGCGATGCTGCGCTTATGATTAGTTATTAGGTACTTGAATTCGGACATCAAATTCAGATAGTCTTTTAATTTCGTGGTAAGGTAAATCTCTTAAGGGTCGATAAAAAAGAGAGCACAATAACTGTGTGTACATTAATTACAGTACAAATAAAAACTTGATACAATTCTCATAACAGCTAACACACCGTGCTTGAATTAGTGCCTCACTCACTTAATTACCACACTTAAATCTAAATCTAAACTAATCGTGCTTTACGAGTCAGTTTAAAACCATGCGTATCACCTATTCCTATCGGAAAAAGACAAAATTAGTCTAAGTCAAAGTATAATAAGGTTTCCTATTACTTCTATTAAATCATAATTCTATACAATGCAGGGTTCCCTAAATTTATTTAGTTCTGTACAAAAACACAATAGTTAGTTGTATCGTCGTGACATAAAAATGATTTCCACTGGCCACGCGCGACTGTTGCTAGAAACAAGATACCGTGTAGTCGCACATAGCCAGAATTACAAAGCTAGCCGAAGTAGAAATTGGGTCTAACACACGCTATTGTCGTACATTTTACTTACCCTCTGAGGAGGAAGTCCTACTTGTCTCGGGCTGTGCGAGTGTTTCGGCGAACAGGAGCCATGCTTCTCTTTCCTGTGGGACTTCAAACCTCGAAGGAGACGGGAAAATGTGGTCACCTTTTTCTTTGCAGTGCCGAGACAATTGTCTACGGAAAAGAAAACTAACATAAGGTAATGAGGAATGTTTATGGTAAAATTGTGTTTTTGTCTAAATTAAAAATATAAAATGTTTACAAATTCAAAAACTTCTATGAAAATACTGTTTAGGTGCCGATAGAAAAACTTTCCGCTTCAGTAATTAAGACGTTACGTCTATACCGCCCGTAGTTTTCGCATCGCATGGCATGTTAGTTATAATTTTATGATTAACTTTCAACAATAACGAGCACCAATGCTAGGATTAAAACGATTATGGCTCTATGTTTAGAGTTGGTCACGTATTCTAATGTTTTATTATAGGTCACTTTAATGGCGTTAACAATAACGTTTTTAAATACCTATCGGTATTTGCATGTTGTATATTAAGCAATTATTATTTTTCTAAATATATTTCTAATACTATTCCTGCATTATTTTCAATTACATGTTTTAATAAATACACTCTTCAAAAGTTCCAATTGCGGTGTTAAATTTGATTCGTTTATGTATTAAATATCAAAATTTGCAATCTGCAAGTTTAAATTTTAATTACTTACCACTGGGAGGGAATTCATAAAAATACGCCGACCGCGGACTGAGGCAACTGAAACAAAATTGAATAATTAACATAGTCCATTACAATAATAAAGTATTCATCGATTGGGGTCCGAGTAATTATTTCGGAAGTATTTGCTGTGTTACTTGCACTGATGTATCTCAGGGGAAATATTCACAACAGGATTGCATTAAGCTCGACAAATATTTGTTAAATTGTATTGACTTCTCTACAAGAGATAATGTAAAACTTTTGACTTTTAAGAGACAGGATATGTCAAGCGCGTGTATCATATAAAAATGATCATATATATTAACTTGATTGTGTGCTTGTAAATTGATGACACTACACTACAAATTTACCTTTACCTCGCGAATTTATTTATAACAACGGCAGCGTTCTGCCTAGTCCGTTTCTTTATAGTCAAAGGTTGAAACGAACATGCGGAATTCGTCGATGACGAGTAAATGGGAAATTAATAGCCATCGGCATTAACAATACCCGTTAATAATGATTGTAGACGGAATGAGTATCATTTAATGAGAGTGTAAATTAGTAAAGGGTTCGAATTGATATTTCTGCGAGTGAACGACTTAATTGTAGCTAATTTAAATTCATGTTTCTTTGATGTATAATTATTTAAAATCATTATATAATTTTAATCGTAACAGGGAGATTAACTTAAATAATTAAATTAGAATTAGAAGGAAAAAATGAGGCCTAAAGCGCCTTAACTGTATTACTAATAGCAGTTCATTGCCGAATTACTAGTACTTTTAAAACATATACTTTTATACTATTTGATTAAAAGATATCATTAGATTTGGATTGGATCTTTAAATTAGATATGTCTATAACTTACGACATAAGAACAATTTATTACAAATAATAATTGTATTGTTAACTATTTTCTAAATCTGTTGTTGATTTCACAGACATTTACATTCGAGTTCTTAATAAAGTAAGAGTGAAGATGTCAATTATGTCGAGTGGATTCAAATACCTGGTAGCGCTGTTAGAGAATTACGAGCATAATCGAAGAAAAAAGCAGAGGTAAGTAATCTTATTGCTAGCAAACCCAATAAAACATACTACAGTCATTATAATAGAACGATTTCTTCGTATATATAATTATGCATAAAGAAAATTCTCTTGTATAATACGTTTTAAATGTTGTTGTTTGTATAATGTATACAGATTTCTTAGTAAAATGTAGCTAAGTATAGTGAATTATTTTAAAAAATAAAATCCGAGATACATCCCAATAGGAACAATTAGACGAAAAGTTGTTCTAGCAACAAACACAAAAAAACCATCCAATCGTAAACAAAACTTACAAATGAGAAAGAAAAAGTTAATCAACTCCATTCCATTGAGGAAAACAAACATAGAAATAAATTAAATAGCTGGTCACTTCGCAAGATAAGATCTACAATTAAGTGGTGCATTAGTACGGGGCTCTAATGACAAAGTTTGGTTTACAGTCCAGCCAGGGGCAAGTCCACAAAGAGTAATAAATCAACAGACCGGTATCATATCGGCGGCATGCAACACTGCGGACGCAATGAATATTGATTTTGGGACCAATTTGCTTCGACGAATATAAATTTACTAAGAACGTCATGTTACGGATATGTATCGTAAATCACCAATAAGAAAACAACCGGCCGGCATACAATGTTCAGAAGATAATTAGGTTAAAGAATGATTAAAATCACAATATCTTTAGTATGAAAGACGCATAGATTTACATTAACATGTTGAATGCAAAACCAGCTCTAAAACCCCTGGCGAATAAGAAATGTATATACAGGATGTGTTACACCTGGTAACGTAGGAACCGAAAAAACAAAAAACTACCATTTTAAATGTGTTAACTAATAGACTTAGAATTTATTATCAAACAGTTCTTAACAGAGAAAAATATCCTAAGAAAGAATACTTTCTGATCTATATAATCGTTTAATTTAAACGCACAGATAAAATAATTACATGTGTGACTTTTCCAATACAATAAAGTTTCATTGCGTAAAACCTATTAATAAATTATTGTAAATTCATAATCAGTGCATCGAACTACTAACATATTTCGATAAAACAAAATCGAATCTAATATGAAAATTGTAGCTTTAATTTAAAAACTGAAATATGATTTAAATTAACTGTTCATATGTGAATACGTTTAGTTGCATTTGGTTCATTTCTCTGCGGTCGGTACTAGACCAGTAATATCGTAGCTTGTTAGATTCCAGTCGAGGCTGTTAATTGACCAACCAGGAGATACTTCGAATTTAATATGTCGCAATACTGCGACCGAACAATTGTTCCGCCCATTGACTTACTGGCTTATTAAATTTAAATTGTTCTCCGAGGTCTCAGTGTGACTTAAGACCAGTTTTGTTAAATGTTTTACTTTGTATACCTATTTGTTATTATAAATTATAAATTGGATGCGCATTCCTTGATTTAACGAAAGAAGAAAATTGGAGAATATCAGTACAAGACAAAAGAAATCTTGGTGTAAAAAGTGACATGACTGACCTGACACAAAACTTCCTATTATAGTTTCACAGCTTATTTGACCCGTCAACAATAACTTTCTTTAACAAGTAAGCTATAAGTAGCTAATTCAAGATTAACTTGGACATGAGGCCCTTAATTTAACCTTCACTTGTATTTAATTAAGTCGAACTAACACGTAAAACTTTTGTTTACAACCACTGTTTACATAAATATTCGTCAGTAGAATTCGTTAGTGGCAACGAGCGTTTAGTCTTATTAATTCAATGAAATACAATTTGTGTAATTTCCATGAACATTTACATACGTGTGGGTTCGTTAGAGTTGAAGTTTTGATGCCTCAACGTCTAACGATAAAATAGTTGACTACGTACTGGTTTGTTGCTATCTACTGAATACTAAACGAATACAATTTACTGAACAAACTATTGTAAATTATAGTATATGTTTACATATATAAATTTAACTGTTTCAGGCAACATGATGGACTAATATAACGTGCTTTAAATTCAAAAACATAATGAATTTCAAAAGTAATTTAATTAAACTAGTCCGACGTTTTATTTATTTCTCACCTACATTATCTTGTAAAACAAGTATAAACATTTCGCTCAGTGAGTTACGTTGTTTAAATTAACGTGTTTCAATAATGAAGCGCGATAAAATAAAACAGCCATTAAGCCTGTCTCTAAATCGCTCGCCAAAATACCAATTTAAATGTTAAACGGCAGTGTAAATAATACTAAAGTCTGGAGCACGCTATCGAGAACCTTTTTACGAGGTAATTCATTAGGCGAACTAGGAGTAGCTCTGCGAGGACCTAATTAGCATCGGACGACGTGCGTGGGCGACCGACACTCGACTCGATGTTAACAAATTTATGAAGATAACGCTAATAAAAAGTCTGTTAGACAAGATGGATTGATGTATTTTGATGATAAAGGTATCGACAAAGGTTAAGTATGGTTATTAATTTGAACTTTCTTTTTAACGATTGCAGCGTAATGAATGGAACCTCAGCATTAAAAATTATGCAATCAAAACTGTAAATGTGTAGCGAGCTTAAGATCGCATTGACAATTATTAGGTAAACCGTTCAATATTTCGTTTTAGAATTTATTTATTTAATACCAGTGTCTTCAGTAATTTAGCCCTTTATATATTGTAAGTTAAATTATAGTCGCTGTAACCAATCCGGCGATACTATCACTGTTAGCGAGGAATTTAGATGAATTCCTTCTCGTTTCGAAATCTGTACACGTTCTGTTGCAACTGTTCGTAGATTTTCGCATTCTATTGCCTTTGTTCCAGTTAGAGATAACGATTTGTTTTTCACTTTTTACGATCGCAGCGGTTTAGATTTAGAACATGGAATGTTTTTGAAATTACCACTATGACAGAAATAAATACAATTATAAAAAAATGATTACAAAATAAAGTGAATTGTACGTGAGAACAGTTTTACGTGTATTTGAAACTGGTTTTATTGACCAGGATAAAAGAGTATCTTTGTATTTTTTACAAATAAACTTTTAAATATACACATTTGTAATCCAAAAACTTGTACAATTTCAATATTGTGTATTGAAGTAAGATATTATAAGAAACTAGATACAATTTCGCAATAAAATCTAAACTTGCATAACAGTACACGTTGAAGTGAGAGCTGATAAAGTGCATTCCGTAACCGCGGTTGTCTGGCCCGTGCCAAGTGAGTTACAACTATCCTCGTCCCGGCCGCTTCTGTCGCCAATCGAATGTCTGATTTCAATTTAGATTAAGGTTTAAACATGCACCGTAAAAGCTTATCTAACGAGTACACCTGTTAAAGTCGAAATAATTTACGACCGCGCCCCCTAGCATAGTCGTTAGCCTCGCGAATGAATCGAAGCCGGATCGCTTGACTTTAACAGAATATAGACGTAATTCTTCTCAAGTATAATCACGCATTATACGGCAGAGCTCATACGAAGAATTTATGGTTATTGGTTTTGGTGAAATAGAAACGATCATGAAGCGAAGAGGGCTTAGTATAAAACAAAATTAAATTGCATAAAATCAAATAAGCGCTTTAGTTTAAACCTTTATTACAACTCTTGTTATTTAATTTTATGTTCATTAAATAGACTATTAATTAACTAAATATGTGTATGAGTGAAAATTATTTAAACTTGTTAAACACTATAGTCCTTTGTTTTCGTTTAATAAATACGATCGTTTTAAAACTGAGTTATTTTATTTTATATCATTGAGGAAAATACCCATGTATATCCTAGTAGGGGCAAGAACGGATTACGGACTAGTAATGACTAAGAACTATAAATTGTCTTACCTTTGGTAATTATGTTGTTGATTGTGTATAAGGGGCTGGTTAGGCTGTGCCAGTAGCAACTGTTTCTGCTGCTGTTGTCGCTGCAGCATATGCTTCCCAAAGACACCGTAACCGAAGCCGTAGATCTCGTCCTCCTCTTTGTCGGTAAGGCAGCTTGAAGGCTATAAAAAATACATGTATTAAAATCTAACTGTAGTTCCCGACTTCTTCCCCATGTAATAAAAAATAATAAAAAAATATACCTATGTTACTCACAGATAAATTACCTTTCTAACGGTTACAGAATTGTATTGGCATTGTATGCATCAATCAAATGAAAATTTGATTACCAATACACACGATGTACGAAAAACCAAAAATATAAGCTATTCCAAAATTCTATTTTGGATCAAAACGTTTTATAACAACCGCTATAAATCTGAATCAAGAGCTACGCAAAAAATACGTGAACCAGAAAAACTCTCAGAAATCCCAATTGAGATATTTCAACATAAAATTGACAACATACAGCATTTTTTTTAATAAAATAACTGCATTTATCACAACGAATAAGAAAATATTAAAAGCCTTCCACTACATAAGCTTAAAACTATTAATAAAACACGACGAAGTGGTGACGTCACGTCAGATAATCATCACAGAGTTTATTCCAGAATTTGAATTAAGAAGGTTTTGTTTTTTATTAGTTTAAAGTTTTAAATGGGCAGTGGCCGGAGACTCGATACAAAGCTCAGAATGGAGCGATGGAGGCGACCCACTAGACGCCCTTTACCTATTACGGGGAATTCGGTTACTAAGGACTAACGAATGGTTAAATGTAGCTGGGAAACCGGTCATAAGTCGTCATATAAGAATGAATGATAAATAAATTCAGAGTTCGTGTATACTCGCGTGATACATTAGATTTGAACATTTTCATCACCGCAATTATCAGCAAGTGGCATAATAATCAAGATTTATCGTCACTCGTAAGACGCTGCGATGTACCGCCAACGATTAATTCTCTCGTAACATTACACATTGCAGATTTGTAGTACATAACTTCAAGTGGAATTGAGCTATAAACATAAATCTAACAAATAATTTAAGCTCATAACAAGCGAGACATTACTCATGGTAATTTACAATTAAGTTTACGCGGTCCAAATGGTAATGACTACTTTGGACAGAATGGCCGTTACTGTTATATATTTGTAATTTAGTTAATGGACTGCAAAGCTTATTATGTAGAACAAACAAAACAATATACCTACACCAAAGACATTTAAGAAATATATAGACTAAAATATATAGACATAGGGAACAATTTTTTTTTCATCGGTAACTTCTTTGAAAGGTACAATATTAGTTGTCAAGTTTAGTGTCTCCTCATATCCTTGTATTGACATGTCATAAAATATTTTATAAAATTATTCTAATTAAAGCTCTATCTTTTGTTATAAAATAATCTAAACAGTGTCACAAAATAAAACGAGAACATTTAAATATTACTTAATGACACCTATTGGCAATTAATTTTAATAAAATTTATTATTTTGACATGTGGTTTTGAGGCTCTATCAATAGATAGCATTAGACCATGTAAAAAATGTCTCAAGTGAAGTGTCAACTATGCTTCCTCTATATATATTTTAATCTCTTTGATCTACACAGTATGAAATTCCTAATCGTATAGTAAAAACTACTTGCAATTGTAGAAATTCACTCATGCGCAACAGGGCATGAATCCACTTCTATTGGTAAAGTATAAAATTGTTAACATTCTTACCGAATATTTTCCAGGCACATAAATCGGTTGTGAATGAGATGTGGTGAGATTGGTCAGTGCGAGAGAACCAGGGCTGGCTGATGGTGGTGTCTGGGGTGTGCCTGGTCCGCCGAGCACCCGCATCCGTGGAGACATCTCCTCCCATTCATGTCTTCGTAACTCCTCAAGGTGGTCGAGTACGTCTCCGTAATGCGTTGAGAACAGATCCGCATATCGAGATGCAAGACCTTCCAAGTACCCTCGGTCTCCATCCTGTTGACAAATTAATAAGTTAGCAACGGCTATTCAAATCTTATTATTATAGTTTGTTAATTTGAAAAACTTTTGCTATCTTAAGTCTGCGTACCCCATTTCTTTTCTTCGTCCCTGTTAAAAAATAATTCTTCCGCAGTACGAGTGTGCATGAAAATTTGTTTTTTAACGACTTACGAAGTTTGTACAAACGAGGCAAATTAACGCAGTGGAGAGAGCAAACAGTAATTAAATAGTACCTAAAAACCTATTTGTCTGAGTTGCTTTCCTTCCGAGTAATTTCCGTCGAACGAAAAAAAAAAGAAATAGATATTAAGGAAGGTAATTAAAATCTGCAAGTCTGAATTATGGAGGAGATTTAAAATTAGGGATGTTTGGCAGAACGCAATTAGGGTTTTTGGGTCTTATAATAGGGTCACTTTGATTGTAGAAGGGTATTTAATGGGAGCGATGTGCCCGCGGATGGTTGAATTTTTAGAGAACATTTATTTAACGATTACTTTTTATTTGAAAACAATGCACATATTTAACGAATGATTAAGAATAGTACAGTACTGATAGCTGTAACTGCAATATTTTATAAATCACAATTTATTGATAATAACATACCACAAGTAAACACTGAGCTTAAATTTTTAAAACATAAATTCTTAAAGTTAATCCGCCTTGAAATCATGGAACAAAAATAAACAAATGAGAAATAATCTCGCTGTAAACGAACTCTTTCATTAAGACTTGGAAACCAAAGACATGGTCCCCGGGCTAAATAATTCCCTACTTCCCCTGTGTAAACACGGCGGGCTCGCCTTTCGGTCCACAGGCCATTCTGCATCGTTCTTTCATGCTTTTTTATAAACGCCTTGTTTTAATATCCTTCTCTTTAACCAACGATGTAAAATGACGCCTCATATTCAAACGCATTATGTAAGTACGATTTAAAAACAGACAAACGGAAAACGTGATTAGCTTTCATCAAAATAAGAAAAAATCGATTGCCAGACTATAGGTTAATTGGATCAAGTTTAGATAAACATTCAAATTATTAATTTAAGTGAAAAAGATACACCCTGTTAGACAGCAATCTTCGTCGTCTCACACGCGATTTACAAATGCATTTAAAACATTCTAGCATGTAGATCTCACACGCTGTAATTGAATCGAAGGAGAAGGATTTTTTTACGCATATTGATGAATTAATTAAGATCTTACTTCTCCGCTTTTAACCACTTTTACAAAAACATGCAATAACTAAACCGAGTAAGAAGATTTTGCAATGACTAATAATGGGATTGTTCACTTCTAACGACAACAAATTTGACATTTACATATAATAGAAGCGTAAAATATATTTAGAATAATTCAATTTAGAATGAATGATTGATAGGTTGGTCAGGAATTGAAATAAAAAACCGTGGAGAATCACAATCTGTATTATTCCTGTCAAATCAAAAAAGCATCAGGGGCTCACCATCCGAGAGTCGCACTTAGAATTCTACCAGCGGGTGCGCGTCGAGTCAAAGATGGCCCCAAGGTTTATTTCCATTTTTAAATGAGAGCGGCTGAGAGCTTTGTCGGCTCTGAGTTTGTGCTCAGCGTTTTAAGTGGATTAAATCGCTCCACGCTCGTAAAACCGACAAGTGCTCCGGCTAAGAATTAAAGTAACCGTTCGACTTTTGCATGAGAAGCGGGCCCCCGGTTAGCACTCCGCGCATTCGACGCGCGCCTGTCGGTCGGTTTGTTTATTTTTTCTGGGGAAATGGTCGTCGAATCACATCTTGGCCCGCCGCCGCAGCCGCTTTGTGAATACTCAATGAAAGAAATTCATTAGCGCTATCTTTCAATAGCCCTCCGCTTTCGGGGATAAACTTTTTGTTCTTCAGGAAAGGCTTAAGCTAAAACTCGTTGCTAAGAAACGATTGTGTTCTCCGTTTGACAATTACGATTCACGCGTGAGCGCTGCGATAAAGTTGTCTCGTCAAAGTTTCAATTCAAACAAATGGTTTCGCAAGCATTTTGCGATATAAAATATTACATATACAATTAAATCGTTGCTTTATTTACTTTTAAAATTAAACTGATGCAAAAATTTATAACGAAAAATTTATGACAATATTTCGTACATGTATTTCGAATACGACAAGTCGTGACAAACATAAGATTCACTCCCCCTTATTCCCAAATGAAAGCAAAAGAAACGCTGAGGTTAACTTAAGATATATTTAAAACATGTCCCAACGAGAAACTAAGTCAAAGAACAACAATAAGAGAAAACAATGATCTATGGTGGTTGGTAAAAGGCATAGTAAATGCTCTTGAATTTAAATGGTACATTGAATCTAAAGAGACTCGTTTGGAGCGTAGAATCGAGTCCGCGGGATAGTCTGGCAATGGCGGTCGCACTGTTAAAATAACCAACTGGGAAGTTCTGTAATAAACATAAAATTTCAGTTTTGACATTCTTTATTGCCTATACTTTAACCATTTATAGACGCAATAGTACTTGAGACACAGCTTTTACGTAATATTTTCCAATCCATACACCACTTTTACGAATATTCGATTTCAAAGTAGGTCATTTCACTCGATATTTTGAAATCTATGCAGTTCTATTATCATAAAATGAGATTTTGCTTTTATCATTACCATATCTGTTTATTTCATAGGTTATTTAAAGTCACGTTTTTTTAAGTTACATAAAATCAGTTTGAATATCTCTCTATATAAAAATAACTCTCTAGGTTTAAACTTCTTATTTAAAAAGATACAAACAATTTTCATCACTATACCAAAGATATCAGACACCTAAAGAATCGATAGGCACGCAGTCTTTCCCAAGCCCAAGCGTCTGCACCATCGAACTTTACGTACTTTAAAATGAGTATAAATTGCAAAACTTGGGAATTATTTGCGTCTCTCCATAGCAATTTACTCCGTTTTTCCAGAGTTTCATTATAACAAGTTTAATTGAAGACCGCGTCCGGTACATAAATTTAAACTTTTGGCATGCATTTTAATCCGCTTACAGTAGTTAGTTGTTCGCTGTAATGGCTAGTAAATGAGTTTTGTAGTTCCCCCTCGGATATTCGGTTATTGTTTAGTAATTAAATTAAACTGAGTAATTTGGAATTATTCTTGTCACTTTATGTACCAATGTTTTGTTTCTGAAGTCTCCAATGATTTTATCATTACCTAATGATTCGTTAGTGTAAGGCTAACCTATGTTTCAACGAAGTTGAAATAAAGTTAAGTAGTACCGAAATGCATTTCACGAACCAAAAACACTAAGGAATGGTATAATGTAGCTGGGTACCTGGCCATAAATGTTGTATATTAATCAATGCGTTGCACATTTACTTTTTTTTAAAATAAGACTTGTCAACTCGTTACATATTATAATAGAAGTTATACTTGACGTATAAATCTTAGAATCTAAAACATTTCAGCTTGTTAATATTTAAATTTTGTCATTCAAAGGAACATTTTAATGAATATTTACAGTTTGCAAATGGAAGCATGAAAGTAACGAAATGTAAACTCGAGGAGCATTCACATTGAAGACACTAAAGCATGCCATGTCAGGAACAATTTAAATGTTAATGCAAAATTATAAGCGCGTTCCTGTACTGAGTGTCGGCAAAAGGCGACGGAGATAAAATGAAATGTCGCCCTCGCGACTTGATTAATGTACAAAATCTTTTCATTTATGAAGAAAACAACACACACTGTGAACCTCACCTGATCTTATCAACGCCACTAGCGAGAAGAAAGAAGTGCATCTAATAGATGTAATCCAAGAAGAAAAACCTTTTCTCTTTTTCACTAGATCCTCAATTTCAACTATCATTTTAAAAGGTCACGGACAGGGACCAAGAGAACTGGACGTCGTCCCTCCAGGTGGATCAACACTTACTGCGACTGGCCAGAATTCGTTGGGAAACGCCTGTGTCCAGTAGGCAAAGACTAATAAATATGATGATTTTGAAATTCGCCAAACAATATCTTGTTTATTATTTAAAAGTCTTTCATTCTAAGATCCGTTTGAAACATTTTGGTCTGAAGTTGCCTTCAATCATAAGTTGAAATACAAAACAAATAACTTACGTTACCATTAGCGTTTAGATTTACAAAATGATTATTGATTCTAAAAACAAAATGATACTAAAACGTAAACTGTTTGGTTATCCATTCGAAGGAAATAAAATGGTGGCAAACGATATATTACTGGAGTGCAATGAAAGTAAACCATCAACGAAAACGGACGATAATTGGCTGAGCGTTTCTTTTCATGAGTCACAAAATACCCCGAGTGGCCGGCGATCTCATTATAGATCTAGTTAACTCAAATTCAAACGGTCGTTTCTTTAAGAATACCGTCGGAAATAGTTACAGTCTCCTCGATCTGCTTGAGAAAATACTTCAAGGGTTTTTTCTATTCTTTGATACTGATATGACTTACTTTCTTAGAATTGAATATATGTTTTTTTGTGTTGTTTGTAGCTGATAATTTTAACAGAAATATTGTCTGATAATAGTAATTAATATAAATATCCTGCCTGGAAGATTTCGTTTATAACGATAAGGCCGCCTTACACAAATTTTGTAGTCGATAACCTTAGTTTTAATATACATTTTTTAACGTTTTGTAATTAAGTGTTGAATAAATAAAAAGTTATTTGTAGTTTCTAGAACGTCTTCTATCTTCCACATACTTTGATGCTTGATATGAGTATGAAAAATAGTTATACACGAAAATCGGAAATGATATGTTCTGATGGTATACTCGTAGTACAGTTTCAGTTGACAAATCAATGAAATTAGTAAATATTTAGTTAAAATAAACGAGTTCTTAAACAGTACAATCGTCAATGAACTCAGCCATCTATATTGAACGGTTAAATACGTTTAGACAGTGTCGGTCTATTACCGTTCAGAAGACGTGTAGCGCTCTAGATTGTATTATTTATATTGTGAGCGAGTTCAATGTTCGGCAAGTATTTATGGGTGTATTAATTTGATTAACTCGAGGCAT